ATCCACCCTCCCTGACTAAAATCAGGGAGACGATTTCCAAGCTGAAGAGTGAGGCAAGGGGCTTGCATGCTGTCCTGTCTGCCATCCGGCAGATTGGTACCATTCCCACTGACCTGCTCAGGAGTGTAGTCATCCTTCACTGGAAGGGGAAAGGGGATCGGTGGGACTGCAGCAATCACCGAGGCATTACCAGAGGCCGGAGCAATCTGGATTCACTCCTGGTAAGTCCACTATAGACCGTATCCTGGCACTTCGAGTCATTGTGGAGCGCCGTCGTGAGTTCGGATGTAGGCTGCTCGCAACTTACATCGACCTTAAGAAGGCATTTGATACCGTGCATTGCGAATCACTCTGGGAGATCCTGAGACTAAGAGGAATTCCAGTAAGGATTGTTGGATTAATAGCAAACCTGAGAGTGCTGTAAAGTGTGGTGGGGGCCTGTCGAGCTTCTTCCCTGTTAGTTCAGGTGTGAGGCAAGGCTGTGTTCTTGCACCAACACTTTTCAACACTTGCATGGATTAGATAGTGAGTAGAGCTACTGTCCAAAGTCACTGTGGAGCAACTCTGGGCAATATCAAGGTTACAGACTTTGACTTTGCTGATGATGTTACCATTCTATCTGACTCTCTGGAAACCCTAGTGGCGGCTCTTGATGCATTTAGCAATGTAGCAAAGCCCCTGGGGCTAGAGGTTTCCAGTACCAAGACCAAGATTGAGGATTTTTGGAGCCTACTAGGAGACCCTGTGCAGTCGGTATATGCTTGCGGTGAAAACATCGAGGTCACAGAGAGCTTTATATACCTCGGTAGTGCAGTTCATGACTCTTGGCCTGTCAGCAGGGGCCATGAAATCTCTCGACAAGAGTATTTGGAGATGCCGGTACCTGTGCAGAAGGACCAAGCTACGTTTCTTCAAAGCCCTGATACTGCCAGTTTTACTATATGGTAGTGAAACCTGAACGCTATCTTGTGCTTTGGAATCTCGTCTTGATGCCTTTGGTAACAGATCCTTGCGCCGGATCATGGGGTGGAGGGGGGGGGGGCGTGACCATCCAACCCACCAGGCTGTCTCTGTTCGAGACATCCCTGGGTGGAGGAGGCCTGTGGGACGACCGAGGAAGTCGTGGCTTGGGAGCTAGAGATGGGCCGGGCCCCTGCCTGGCAGCTCGCCATGAAGGACCCTCATATGTGGAAGCGAAGGGTGGATGCGGCTATGCACCCCTGCCGGCGTTAGCTCTCAAATGATGATGACGATTTCCTTTCTTACTTTCCTTTCTTACTTTGATTATATCTTATAATCATAAATGTCGACATAGCCATGGCTCCCAATCCCCAGTCAAGAGGTGCTAAGCTTTCTCAAATTTAAGGTCTTGTTATTTGCATGTGGATTATTGTTTTGTTTTCGGGTCATGCTGAGCTCAATCCTGGCTGTAACCGCCCAAAGTATTGCAACTTACTTTTTGGTAAGATTCGTGGACTCGGGAATTTGAATGAACTTGCAACTATCTCAATTAAATTTGACATTATTTGTTGTGCTGAAACTCTGGATTCAGACATGAGTAATATCATCAGAGTTACTTTTACCTAATTTTGACAAACCCTTGTTGCTACGGAGGAATTCTTTGCCTCGAGCCCAATATTTGTTTCTCTTCTAAGGTTGATTTTAATGCTAGTTGTTTTACGAAGTATGAATGTGGTTATCATGAATACATGCAAAGACTATACTTTTATTCTTTATAGAAGTCCCAGTTCCGATGATAACATTTATTATTGTTTACTGACTCCGCACATTTCCATTCAAGAGATAGGAAATTGTGCTTTATTTTCATATTGACCGACATGGCATTTCTACTTTAGATTTCTCAGATGTAGTTGGGTGTGAGCAGTTAGTCCGTGGTGCCACTTACAGGAGTGTCTTTTGGATCTTTTATTAACTGATGTGAGAGAGGTAATTAATGAAGAGTCCATCACGCCAATTGGTTCTTCCGACCAACGTAATCTGGCTTGTAAGATCCAGCTAGACTTTCCAATTCCATATTTTACCTTAACGAGAAAAGTCTTCTTAAAGTCTAAAACTAATTGAGATGATGTCTACCATACTTTTGATATCATAGCCTATAATGTTCCTTGTCCTGTTAATACTCTGAACTTGTTATTGTTGGACATCATAGCGACGTTTGCACCTAGCAAAACTCTTAAATCTCGTTTACATGATAAAGCATGTTTTAATAAACGATGTCACCAGGTTTATAGGGGCAAGCACACAGCCTATAATCCTGTTACCATGCTAAATATAGCAACTATTGTTTATAAGAAGGCTAAATCTGAATATAACGCTCATTTGAAAGAAGTTCTCTCAGAAGCGTCACAGCCTCATAAATGGCAGTCAACGCTTAAAGCATCTCTGTTTAGTGTCAAGTCCTCCGTTCCTCTTATATTGAAGGCTGATGGTAGTGTTATATATAGTCCGATAGAGAAAGCTACGGTGCTGCAGAATGCTTTAATTCAAAACAAACTTTAGAAGATATTGAACCTCTTCTTTCATGTCACCATGCTTTAATTCTTAAGTCAAGTATCTGTTATCGGAATTAGACAAATGTGGTGAAATTCATTTGATTTCAAAAAGGCTAAACGGTCAATTAGCTCATAAATTAACTGTAATCTTACGCCTTTTAGTGCTGTTACTTTAGTAATGCTACCCCTATTCCCAAGGGCCCACTACAGTCTCCACTAATTTTATCTAAAGTTTTAGAACGTTTACTGGTCAAACGTCTTTCTGTATATCTGAGACCGTTTCATCCATAATGGTCAAGAGTCTAGGCTTGTCTCTCTGGATTTTAGCTTTTGACACTGTTAATCACAAGGGTTTAGTTTTTAAGTTGCAGTCTGTTGGTGTTGGTTGTATAGTGTGTCTTCTGGGGTTCCTCAGGGTACTGTTCTTGGCCCTTTGTTCTTCATTTTATATACAAGCGATATGTGATATTACTAATAAAATGTTGGCCTTTGCTGATGATACTTCTCTCTCTGCTGATATTCCTTCTCAGGCAACCAGGGAAATAGTAGCGGATGATATTTCGATCGTGGTGCTCTCGGTGGGCCATGAAATTAAATCCTAATTCCAAGGAAATGAATGTGAGTCGCTTTGGAACGCAGTTGCCTCATCATCCAAATCTGATCATTAATGGAGTCTTATTCACTTCAGTGGATAATCTGAAGCTATTAGGTGTAGCCATTGATTCAATGCTTTCATTTGAATTGTAGATTAGGAATATGGCCCGCGCAGTTTCATCTAAGTTAGGCATCATTCGCAAGTGCAAGAAAATTTATGAAGATGACAACTGTACTCGTAGATGCCTGTTTTCTTTTACTCTACCTCGATTTGAGTATTGTTCTGTGTGGTTATATGCTGCATTCACACTTGCAACTGCTTGATCGATCTTTTAATTCCATTAAATTTCTTCTGTCTGACTTAAATTTGGATAATGGGCATCATAGGGATATTGGGGTCCTTTCGGTCTTATGCAGAATTGTAACCGACAATTCACATCCCCTCTATAAGATTTTACCTGATTTTTAAAAACCTGCAAGAGTAACTAGATGTTTCCTAACCCCAATTCAACTACATTTGATTCAAGTTGATCGTCTACATGTCAGTTTTCTAGATGTTTTTTATTGTTATTTGTAGGCTTGGGAAATAGATTGAATTCAGAGACTGTATCTTCTCCGACTCTTGATAAGTTTAAAAGATCAGCCATTAGCTATAAATTTTCACTACGTTAATAATTTAACACATTTGTCATTTGTTATCTTGCCTGCCCTATAATGAATGTGTGGAGGATATGAACAAGTCCCCCCCCCTCATATTTACGACATTTCTATACCAATTGTTTTCATTGATAATCAAAAAAGGGTAAACTATTTTTATATGTCTCCCCCAAGGAGTTCATACAAATTACAAACTTCAAAGGATTAATAAAGTAATCAGTTACACTAGGTATATCAAGATATTGATAATTTACATAGCATAAGTGTAAGTGTATGATACATTAGGTAATATGACTAAGACAATCTAATACTCCTGTCTGGTTCCACAGGAGTATGGCACGAGAGAAATAACAGAAAATTATAATTATAAATTAAACAGATCTTAAAAAACAAAGGAAATATCATCTCTACGTTTAACTTGTTTAGACTTAAAAAAAAAAAAACACTTTCGTGTCTATTTTATACATTTCATTCCATTTTCGCTTCTCAGTTCTAATAGAATGTTATAGAGATTACAGTGGAAATCACAACTTTAGCACAAATTAAATAGTTCAGACTATCTCATAGAGTATCGTCGTCAGCTTTAGTGTTTCTGGTGAAGTTGTGTCTATGGGTGTGGTTGTTTCTGAAGGTGTTGTTAAATCCGCGGTTGTGGTTGTTTCTGAAGGTGTTGTTAAATCTGTGGATGTGGTTGTTTCTGAAGGTGTTGTTACATCTGTGGTTGTTTCTGAAGGTGTTGTTAAATCTGCGGTTGTGGTTGTTTCTGAAGGTGTTGTTACATCTGTGGTTGTGGTTGTTTCTGAAGGTGTTGTTACATCTGTGGTTGTGGTTGTTTCTGAAGGTGTTGTTACATCTGTGGTTGTGGTTGTTTCTGAAGGTGTTGTTACATCTGTGGTTGTGGTTGTTTCTGAAGGTGTTGTTAAATCTACGGTTGTGGTTGTTTCTGAAGGTGTTGTTACATCTGTGGTTGTGGTTGTTTCTGAAGGTGTTGTTACATCTGTGGTTGTGGTTGTTTCTGAAGGTGTTGTTAAATCTGCGGTTGTGGTTGTTTCTGAAGGTGTTGTTACATCTGTGGTTGTGGTTGTTTCTGAAGGTGTTGTTACATCTGTGGTTGTGGTTGTTTCTGAAGGTGTTGTTAAATCTGCGGTTGTGGTTGTTTCTGAAGGTGTTGTTACATCTGTGGTTGTGGTTGTTTCTGAAGGTGTTGTTAAATCTGCGGTTGTGGTTGTTTCTGAAGGTGTTGTTACATCTGTGGTTGTGGTTGTTTCTGAAGGTGTTGTTACATCTGTGGTTGTTTCTGAAGGTGTTACATCTGTGGTTGTTTCTGAAGGTGTTGTTACATCTGTGGTTGTTTCTGAAGGTGTTGTTACATCTGTGGTTGTTTCTGAAGGTGTTGTTACATCTGTGGTTGTTTCTGAAGGTGTTGTTACATCTGTGGTTGTTTCTGAAGGTGCTGTTACATCTGTGGTTGTTTCTGAAGTTGTGGTTACATCTGTGGCTGTGGTTGTTTCTGAAGGTGTTGTTACATCTGTGGTTGTGGTTGTTTTTGGTGTTACATCTGTGGTTGTGGTTGTTTCTGAAGGTGTTGTTAAATCTGTGGTTGTGGTTGTTTCTGAAGGTGTTGTTACATCTGTGGTTGTGGTTGTTTTTGGTGTTACATCTGTGGTTGTGGTTGTTTCTGAAGGTGTTGTTACATCTGTGGTTGTGGTTGTTTCTGAAGGTGTTGTTAAATCTGTGGTTGTGGTTGTTTCTGAAGGTGTTGTTACATCTGTGGTTGTGGTTGTTTCTGATGTTACATCTGTGGGTGTGGTTGTTTCTGAAGGTGTTTCATCTGTGGTCGTGATAGCTTCTGAAGATGTTACATCTGTGGGTGTGGTTGTTTCTGAAGGTGGGGTTGCATCTATGGTTGTAGGTGTTTCTGAAGGTATAGTGGCTGTTCCAGTTGACTCTGAAACTGAGGTTGTGTCAGTTGGTCCGGTCGAAGCTCCGCACTGGGACACGCACTCGCCTCCCTCCGCACAGCGCCCCGTTTCGGGATCGAAATGCTCGGTCGGCCGACAGGACCCGTGGACATCTTCGTCTGGAAATCCTTGTTCAATACAGATGTAAAATTTAGTACAGTCATTAGGATCCGCAATTTGCACGCCCGCAGTTGAGCAGAACGGCGTGCACGGCGCTGCGCTGGTGGTGGTCACGCCGGGCGCACAAACGGCTTCGCATTCGACATCGGCGAGACATCGATGGGTTTCAGCATCAAAAAACGTCCCGCTCGGGCAAGTGAGGTGGACGTCCTCGCTGGGCTGTCCGGTTTCGACGCAGACGTAGAATCTGGCGCAGTCAATAGGGTCGGGAATCTGCACGCCCACGGACGTACACATGGGCGTGCAGGAGACCGAGCAGCAGACGCCACTATCTTCGACGCACGTTTGACTCTCCCAGTGGAAGTAGGTGTTTCCTGGGCAAGTGATAGGTCCCAACGGACCATCGGGGAGACACAGGTGGAAGGCGTTGCAGCTGCTCTTGTCGTTGATCATTTCCAGCGAGTCTCTGCAGGTGAAATGGCAGGGTGTGAGGGCCCTTCCTTCCTGAAAGGAGGGAACCCCAGCGCCGTCGGGTGTGCATCCTTTTTGGTCAGAATGGATCTGATTTCCTGTAGAAAGATTCTTGCATTTTGTTGCTTTCAGGGAATAGCCCAAGACAAGGACACAACCGCCGAGCTGAGGGAGGTTGTTAAACGGTTACTCGTTATGGTGATTATGACGTGCCTAACTTATAACAACGTGAACGAGAAACTGAACTGAGAGGGTGTCAGTATAATCCAAAATAGTGAGAACTGTCTCAAAGTGAAGACCCACAATCACAAAGGACAGATATAATTCAAAGTTTAAATGAAGAGATTTAAGAGAAAGTCCAGGAGGACCTCACCAGAAGGGCAAGGGAGTGACAGACCATGATGGCACCTCGAAGGACGACGTCTCAGGCACCCACTATTCCCCAAGGCGCCGATCCTTTGCCTTTTCAACCCTTGGTCTTATCTTGGGAATCTCTTAGATCTAGGTCAAGGCAAGATGCTGAGAGGAGAGATTATAGAACAGAAATCCCACTCTTGGTCTCCTTATCAACTGACGCATCTATCTTTCAGCTCTAAATTTCGACTGACATTGCGCTTACCGACTTTTTTCTGATAAATATTTCATAAGTTTATATTTCCTGGGACTCTCTAATCGCAGTGTACGACTGCGTGCTTAGTTATTATTATGGACATGCACACACACACACACACACACACACACACACACACACATATATATATATATATATATATATATATATATATATATATATATATATATATATATATATATATGTACATATATATATATATATATATATATATATATATATATATATATACATATATATATATATATATATATATATATATATATATATATATATATATATATATATATACATATATATACATATATATATATATATATATATATATATATATATATATATATATATATATATATATATATATATGGACACACACACTTAAACATACACAGACGTACACACACAAATATGTATATATATATACATATATATGTATATATATATGTATATATACATGTATATAAATATGTATACATATATATTATATATATGCATATATATGTATATATATAAATACATATATATACATATATATATATCATCATCAGCCTGGGTCAATCCACAGCGACGTAGGCCTCTCCCAATCTTTTCCATCTTTGTCTGTCTTGCGTTTTTGTTCCCAGTCTTGGCCCCAAAATTTCGTTATTTCATCGCGCCATCTTGTCATAGGTCTGGCCCTTGGCCTCTTTATGTTATCTGTAAGCCAGTCTGTTACTTTATTTGTCCATCTGTTGTCCTGTCTCCGACATATATGACCTGCCCATTGCCATTTTTTTTTTTTTTTTTTTTTTGATACTCCTGAGTATATCTTCCACTTTTGTCTGTTCCCTGATCCATGTCGCCCTCATCTGATCTCTTAGACTAATTCCCAGCATCAACCTCTCCATCCCTCTCTGGGCACTTATTAGTTTCCTCTCCAGTAATTTGGTTGTAGTTCATTATTCTGATCCATAGGTCATAACTGGGAGGATGCATTGGTTAAAGATTTTTCTTTTTAAACATAATGGCAAGGAGCCTTTTAGTATGCTACTGTGTCTGCGAAGGTGCTCCAGCCTAGACTGATGCGTCGCTTAATTTCCTCTTCGCTAGATGTGTTTGTCTGTACGAGTTGCTCTAGGTATATATATTTGTCTACCACCTCTAGCGCTTCGCCTTGAACATGTATCTGTTCGAATTTAACTGTTGAGCATGATCTTAGTCTTTTTCTTGTTCATCTTAAGTCCGACTTTCAGGTTTTCTCTATTCAGATAATTTATTAGTTGCTGCATTTCATTTGCGGATTCACTGAAGAGAACAATATCATCTGCAAATCTTAGATTGTTTAGGTATTCGTCCCCAATTTTGATACCCTTTCCGGTCCATTCTCGCTTCTTGAATATTTCCTCAAGGCAAGCTGTAAACAATTTTGGTGAGATGGTATTGCCCTATCTAACAAGTTTCTTAATTGGGATTTTATCGGTTTCTGTGTGGAGCTTGATGTTTGCTGTCCCATCTTCGTATATATCTTCTAATATTTTACAATATACCTCCTCTACTCCCTGTCTTCGAATAGCTGGTATTTGTACAGAGTCAAATGCCTTTTCGTAATCGATGAATGCTACACACAGGGGTTTCCTATATTCGTTTTTTTTTTGTTTTTTTTTTATTTGGGTAAGCATGTGTATGTGGTCTGTTGCTGAGAATCCACTGCGGAAGCCTGCCTGTTCTCTAGGCTGGTTAGAATCCAGACTGTCAGAGATGCGAGTTGTGATGATTTTAGTGAACAGTTTGTAAGTAACTGAAAGGAGACTTATGGGTCGGTGTTTTTTTAGAGCCTTCCTGCCCCCCTTTTTATGAATCAAAATAATTGTTGCATTTTTCCAGGCTTTCGGAAATTTTCCATTGAGAAGGCATTTGTTAAAAAGATTGGCTAGTTTCACTGTTGCAAGTTCTCCCGCGTCTATTATAAGGTCTATACTAATACCGTCTTCACCTAGTGTTTTCCCTTTCTTCATGCCTTTAAGCGCTCTCTTTATTTCTTCTTTTGTGATGTTAGGTACTTCTCTATTTACCGCGTTCGCTTCTATCCGTGGCTGTGCATTTGCGTTTATAGAGCTCTGTAAAAGTTTTCCAATACTCTTATAATTTCATTCTTATTATATGTCAATTCTCTGTTTGGTTTCTTTATTGCATATACTTGATTTCTCCCTATTCCAAGTCTCCTTTTAGCTATTTCATGCTGGTACCTGAGATCACTGTTTCCTTTATTATTTGAGTAATGAATTTCCGTAAATCTTCTCTCTTCTTTTTTATTTATAGTTTTTGTTAATTCAGCTAATTCTATTTTGTCCCTATTTGTCCCTTTCATGACCCTACGTTTTTGCATAAGTTCTTTAGTTTCTATCGAGAGCTTACTGGAGCTTCGTTTGACGTTCTTACCGCCTACTTCAAGTGCAGCTTCCTTTATCATGTCATTGAACTGTTTGTTGATTTGGTCAATGTTGAGATCCTCGGCGCTGAGAAGTGAATAACTGTTTTGGATGTTAATGCTAAATTCTTTCGCTTTGGTCTTCAAGTTAGCTAAGTTTGGCTGCGGTTTTCGTATAAGTTTATTCCTTTCACTTCTGAGGTGTAATTTGATTTGACCTCTGACCAACCTATGGTCTCTGCCAACATTTACTTTATTAATAACTTCCGCATTTTTTACTATATCGCGCCTATTTGAAATTATGAAGTCAATTTCATTTTTGATGTCAGATGGCGACTTCCATGTCCACTTCCGATCTAGTCTTTTTTTTCGAAAAATGTATTCATGATACTGAGTGATCGAGCCTCCGTTTGGCATTTGTCCCTTCTCATTCCTAGTGCCTATTCCGTGATTCCCCACTACGTTTTTTTTTTACCTATTTTGGCATTAAAGGCTCCCATAATTATGGTGAAATGGGATTTTACTCTTTCGCTGGCTAAATGAACATCTTCATAGAAGCTTTCTATTTCGTCATCACTGTGGCTGCAGTTTGGAGCATAGACTTGAACAATCTTTAAGTTGTACCTATTATTTAGTTTTATTTTAACTGAAGCCACTCTTTCGTTTATACTATGGAATTCTACGATATTCTTTTCTAAACGTTTGTGAACTAAGAAACCTACCCCTAATTCTTGCTTGCTACCCTGAGGTTTACCTCTCAAATAGAGCACGTGTCCATCGTTTAGTATCTTCTGTTCTTCGGCTAGTCATCTAACCTCACAGAGTCCTACAGCATCCCATTTAATGAAGGATAGTTATATATATATATATATATATATATATATATATATATATATATATATATATATATATATATATATATACGTATATGTGTGTGTGTGTATATATATATATATATACACGCATATGTGTGTGTGTGTATATATAAATATATATATATGTATACGTATATGCATACGTGTGTGTGTGTGTGTGTGTGTGGTATATATATATATATATATATATCTATAATATATATTTATATATATATATATGTATATATACATATATATAAATATATATATATGTACATATATATATATATATATATATATATATATATATATATATATATATATATATATATATATATATATATATATATAGATGTATATATACATATATATATATATATATATATATATATATATATATTATATATATATATATATATGTATATATATATATATATATATATATATATATATATATATATATATATATGTACATATATACGTATATATATATACATATATATGCATATATATACATATATATATATATATATATATATATATATATATATATATATATATATATATATATATATATATATATATATGTGTGTGTGTGTGTGTGTGTGTGTGTGTGTGGGTGTGTGTGTATACGTATATATATATATATATATATATATATATATATATATATATATATATATATATATGTGTGTGTGTGTGTGTGTGTGTGTGTGTGTGTGTGTGTGTGTGTATACGTATATATATATATATATATATATATATATATATATATATATATATATATATATATATATATATATATATATGTGTGTGTGTGTGTGTGTGTGCATATATAACACATGTATATACATACGCGCGCACACACACACGCACACACACATATATATATATATATATATATATATATATATATATATATATATATATATATATATATATATATATATATGCGTGTGTGTGTGTCCGGGTAGGAGCTTGGAACATCCCGTCCTTACGGCAGGATGAGTGGCGGTCGGGAGTTGAGGTGGCTGCCCTCTCGGAGGGGAGAGGACCTGGCAACGGCAGAATGGGTAGGCACATCTACTGTAACCGCTGTTATCAACATCGGCATGGCGTAGCGGCTGGCCTCAGCATCACGTGTATAACATCTGTACCCACTGTCATCAGCATCGGCATGGCGTAGTTGCTGGCCTCAGCATCACGTGTATAACATCTGTAGCCACTGTCATCAGCATCGGCATGGCGTAGTTGCTAGCATCAGCATCACGCGTATATCATCCCCTATAGGACTTGGGGTGAAGGTTTCCTCAATGGTTGCGATAAGGATAACGCCATAGTCGTGTTCCTCCGTGTTGATATATGTGCTGAATTACGCCTTGTCCCTAGTGCTGACGTATTTGGAAGGAAGAGCGTCTCATGAAGGTTTACAGGTTTATAGGTACAGGTATAAACTCGTAAGTGAACCTGAATCGACTTGTGATAGTGACCACGATTATTATTATATTGATTTATGGTTGATATTGTATTGATTATGTATTAATTACAGGTTTGACCTCATTCCAGTAAATTATGAAGCGAGTACGACGCAGTGGTATCAGTCACTTTAAATTGCCACAAATAATCTAAGTGCGTAGAATGGCGCTTACACCTACTACTGGTCGGGCCGAGGCGACGGTCATCATCTCCAGGGAGTAGCCATGGCCATCTCCAACCTACTGCAACCTCCGGTAGTAAAGGTAACACCGATTGAAAATCGTATTATGGTATTGAGGCTAAAGCATGCTTTTGACTTCATGTCTCTTACTGTTGTATACGCCCCTGCCAATGTTTGTAAAATTGTTGACAAAGAGACATTCTACGCCAAATTCACATTTGTGGCAGACAATTGTCCCCGGCAAGACATTCGCATTGTCCTGGGCGGTTTCAATGCGCTAGCCGGCTGTGATCGAGCTAAGAGATGCCTGTCGATTTCCGGCTCTTGGCATCAGCACTCCAACTACATGGCTGGACTTGGTATAGCGATATGGGTACTGTGGACAGGGAGATCGACCACATTCTTGTCAGGACTCACTAGGGGATCCACCAGAACTGCAAGGCTTACCAGAGTGCCGAGTTCTGTGACACTGACCATAGGCTGGTAGTGGCTACCTTACGGATCCACTTGAAAACTCCTCGTCTCTCTAGTGGCCACTCTTGGGTGTTTCACTTGGATTGATTGAGGGAGGAGTGTGCCCGGATGTTCGCACTACAGTGTCTCGTCGACGCGAGTCAAAAGCATGCTCTCGGTCT